TTACCGTTTACGTACTTAGGTATACCCATTCATCATCGTAAGCTGACTAACATTGAGTGGAAATGCATCGAGGATCGTTTTGAAAAGAAACTGAGCTGTTGGAAAGGGAAGCTCATGTCATATGGAGGACGATTGATTCTAATTAATCCGGTCCTTACCAGTATGCCTATGTTTCTCTTATCCTTTTTCCAGGTTCCGGTGGGTGTCAGGAAAAGGTTAGATTTCTACCTATCTTGATTCTTTTGGCAGAATGATGAGCTCAAACGAAAGTATAGGCTTGCTAAGTGGGATATAATCTGTAGGCCAAAGGACCAAGGGGGTCTAGGTATTGAAAATTTGGAAGTCAAAAACATATGTCTCCTTAGCAAGTGGCTATTTAAACTGGCATCTGAGACGGAAGCTACTTGGGCACAAATTTTGCATAATAAGTATCTTTATGCTAAAACCTTGGCCCAGGTAAATGTCAGGCCTTCTGACTCACCTTTTTGGAAGGGTTTGATGAGAGTAAAACAACTCTTTTTCAACAAGTCAAAATTTATTGTCGGGAATGGTGCTTCTACGAGGTTTTGGGAGGATACGTGGCTTGGGGAGACTCCCCTTGCACTACAATATCCTACTTTGTACAACATTGTGCGACGTAGAGAAGCCTACGTGACAACTGTTTTACAATTCACTCCCCTTAATATTAGTTTTCGGAGGACGCTAGTTGGAAATCGTTGGGAGGCCTGGCTCCATCTTGTTAGACGTTTAATGGAGGTTCGGCTGTCCCAGCAACCAGATCAGTTGTATTGGAAACTTACTAAGAACGGTGTGTTCTCGGTTAAATCTATGTACCTGGATGTCATTAACTCTAGCGTCGTTCCTTCCTCGATTCACGTTTAGAAAGTAAAGGTTCCCTTATGAATCAAAGTGTTTATGTGGTTTGTGCATAAACAAGTCATTTTGACTAAGGATAACCTGGCAAAACGCAACTGGGTGGGCTCTTCTAGGTGTAGCTTTTGCGATCATAACGAAAACATCAAACACCTCTTTCTCGATTGTCCGTTGGCTAAGATTCCGTGGCGGTCGATTCATATTGCGTTTAATATTAATCAGCCCACCTCTATCAACATGTTATTTGGAACGTGGCTTGATGGGGTTGATTCCAATACTCCAAGACACATTCGTGTTGGCGTCTGTGCTTTATTTTGGGTAGTATGGAACTGCAGAAATGATTTAGTCTTTAACAGATCAACAAACATTCACTTTTTACAGGTTATCTTTAGGGCCACGACGTTCATCCGTATGTGGTCGCTACTCACTCCGACGGAGGCTAGGGAGCGTTTGGTTACTGTGTCTACCCGATGGGAGATGGTAGCGCGGGATATTTTCAACCGGTTTGAATGACGGTCATGTAATAGGATAGACATGTAGTGCTCCTATTGTGTTTGCCAGCCGGTTGTGGCTTTGGGTTTTAGCTCTTTTGAGCTTTTTGTTTATTTTCGCACCTCGATACTTGGCGACTTTGTTACTGCATTATCTTTTTAATAATATGAGCCATATGCATTTTTCTGATGCAGAGACTGGGGTAAACCCCCTTTTCAAAAAGAAAAAAAAGGAAACGCTAGAGGACAGAGGATAACTAAAGCGATTGATTGTAGCCGTTCCCTTGCCACCCGCCGTTGGATCTTGGTAACTCGGCTGGAAGCGTTATGCGATTTAACTGAAGGTGTCGACAGGCTTCAGATACAGGTCTAGTCGAGACTTGGACGGTGACAGAAGAGGCCACATGTTGAGGTAGCATACGTGGTCTCCTATGCTGTGTCACGTAGGCCGCTCAGATGGAGGGCCCTTTGGAGGGTAGTACTGGTAGTAATCTTGATTGCTGGTACCAAACCGCCACGAACGGTTCCATTCTAGGCGCCGCTGTTTTAAAGACCGTGGCTCGCAGCACCCGATCCTAAGGGCATTTCCAGCCGTTGGGCCCTTAGGACGCATACAAATCGCCTCTTGGGAACGAGTCGGCGATACATTCGGCGCTGGGGCGGTTTTGCGTCCAGTCGTCGTCCTCAGGCGCTGAAATTGGCCCACTTTGCAGCCCAATTTCGACGAATAAACGGCCCATATGGGCGAGAATAGACTCATATTCGGCGTGGTTTCGCCGTATCTCGACGTTCAATTATCAACACAATTATTCCTTATCACATATTTCATCACAGAAAAATCAAATACTTCAACAAAATACTACAACAACAAATAGTTCAATACAAATTATATAGTTCAACAAATAAAAACTCGTATTTCATCACGCGGCGTCCCCCTTGAGCCTCCATAGGTGCTCAATCAGATCTTTCTGCAGTTGATGATGCACATGTGGGTCTCGGATCTTCTGACGCATACTGAGATAGGCAGTCCAAGTTGCCGGTAGCTGGTGATCAACTTCGGCTAGAGGACCCTGCCTGTAGTATGGTTCAGTGTCAAACACTGGGTCTTCTTGCTCGCTCTCGATGATCATGTTGTGCAAGATGACACAGCAAGTCATGATCTCCCACATTTGCTCGCTCTCGATGATCATTTGATCTCTCCTCATCCGAGTCCATCGCCGAGACAGTCAAAACCCCAAACACCTTGCGCTCGGTGGGCGTGTACTCGCCGTTAAACCGCGCCTCCGCGGCCGGAAACGCCCAGCTGCTGCGGGAGGGGCTGCCGCGGCGAAGCGTTGCTATTTTCCGGCGGGGAATGGCTATCTAGCGGAGTAGGCCGGCGGCCGTCGCCGGGATATAGCTAGTGGTGGCCGAGGGCGCGGGGGGTGCGAGGCGAGTCGGGGAAGAAAACCTTGACTTTTCCTCTGTCGGTGTGGGCCAGGCGTGCTTTTCCCTAGCGCCGGAGCCCCCAACGGCTCCCCAGCGCGCCGGGTTCGGCCTGTGACCGCCGTGCGGAAAAAAGGTCCGAACCGGCGATTTTCGACGTCCTAGGGACGTGACTGGGCCGTTTTTTTGGCGCCGGCGCCGAAAAAGTTGCCTGGAAGGGCCTGTTGGAGACGCGGCTGAAGATGCCCTAACAAGCTCGACCTTTTTCTAGCTTAGCCCGATCTCACCATCAGATCAGATGCTCCATCCAACAAACAGAATCAACCTACCGGTGTAGCAAGCACCTGACGTGCCACCACTCATCCCAGCACTGACTGTAGAGAGTGCTTCCCTGAGTCATAACCGAGGGAAAATATCCAATGATACCAGCCTCGCATTTCTCTCATCTTTTTCGTACTACCAGCGCAAAAATCGCACTTCTATGCGGCAGTTCTTATATTACTGGCAAATCCATTCACATCACACAACTGTACGCACACACTTATTTTTTCCGTGGAATTCCAGAGCGAGCATTCAACGAAAGGGAGGAGCAACACGCATATCGGCCGGTCGACATCTCCGAGGCCCTTTCGAACTTGTTTAAACAACCGGCACCAATTAAAAGACGACGGTGAGGGCAGGCGTCGTCGTCAGCTCGGGCTCAGCCCACCATCCGCGAGCAAATCCGAGGCGGTACGGTGGACTGATTGGAAGGTGGGAGAGACTTTTGTGCCGTGCGGCACACCACCGTCTGTCTTTGATTTCGAAGAAGGGGTCAAAGAAAGGGTGCGCCCAACCGAACCGCACATGCCCAGCCGAGTGGGGAATGAACTCCAAGCAACAGCGAAGAAATTGATCGCAGATCGGCTGGCGTAGGACACGGTTCGATTGCTACGTGCGACAGCATCCATGTAGATAGATGTTGGTCTCGCTCTCGCGTGTCTGGTGAGTGCCCCTGCACGCATCCCTGGCACACGGCGACGGCGATTTGTTTGCTTCGTGCACCTAAATTCTTTTCTTTTCACGTGGCTTCTCAGGACGACCCTGGGCGCACGGAAGCCCCCTGCTAATTCCGCAAAGACCATCCTCCCGTTTCCCTGCCAAGTTCACAGCATGTGCCGAGACGATAATAGTAGGAGTCTTGCCTGGCTGGTCTTTAGCTTGAACCACCAGGGATATTTAGTAGTAATAGCTGGTAACGCTGACCTAGCTATTTGCCAGATTCCGGAGCCAGACCAGACTCCTACAATGGCCGGCTCCGAAGTCACAAGTCTTTGCTTGCTTATACCGAACTAAAGAAAAAAAGAAAAATATCTTTAATGGTAGTTGGAACATGCAACAATGGATAAGAAGAAGAAAGCAGGAATAAATGGTGCGCGGGCTTTCTTGGTTGTCTGCTCACGCTACTGCCCATACTGACTGACCACTACGCTGGTGGAATCCACGCTATCCCAAACGGCAACGCACATCTTCATCACTTTTTGCTCCCATCTTTTCCATACAACTAAGCAATTTCCCCGTGGATAACTTAGAAATTTGCAACCACCTTGCATTTGCAGCCAGTAGAGACAGTTGACACTGACACTACTCTTACAAGCAGCAAGAATGCAAAGTCTGATCATGACCAAACAAACACATTACCACCATTGGAGAGGATGGTTGGTGCAAAGGCTGACCTAAGGCTTGCATGTGAGGAGCAAGTAGGCCAGCCACCGGATCATAATTAGTCCAGACTTGCAAAGGAGCAAGAAATATGCCAAGAATGTCCCACGGAATAAACTCATGTTAAATGTCAAGGCTAGATGGAATGTACCGAGAATATTGATAATTATTCTATCTGAGTATCTACAGCTTCCTTCCCAAGTAAGGTGGAAGAAAAATTAACCAGCCGATACAGGATGAACTACATGTCCACTCTCAGATTATCAAGACATGACTAAACTCTCCCGAGCTCCCAACGCAAGAGCGGAGAATGCATGCAAAGCAAAGGCTTAACTTATTGCATCCAGCGCGACTCTCGCAACTTCAAGGATAACTCTCCATCAGAGGTGAAGAAGGTGTTTATGTTCAAAAATATGGTTTTGGTCCTGGCAACCAAGTTCAGCTGCTTCCTTTTGGACCAGCTTGACATGGCGACAAATTCATCAAGTGAGGAAAAACATCACAGAAGAATCAGCGCCGGCCGAGTACCCTACTTCTAATGTTATTCCTTGACTTCACCATAGGTTGCCTGGTGTTACTCTTAGGCTTTGGTATGTCCCCCAGCTCCATTACTTGTATCGTGCGCTGCTTCTTAGCTGTGGCCGATGGAAGAGTACAGTTAGGTAAACCACAAGATCATAGATGTGAAGAAAGAAAATATTGCGATAGAAAGACAACACGAACCATTTTCAGCTTCTTGGTAACGTTCCTGGAGCCTACGCTTGGCTGCTTCCAACCTTACGTTGCTTTCCAAGCCATCCTGGGTCTTTGGCCTTGCCGACTCTAACCTGACTCCTGATGAAGGCTGTGCACGAAGCCTTGATTTCTGGAGTCAAAGGATAGATATAAGTCACGAGATCTTAAGCATCATCATAGCTTAAGTCTCAGTAACATGTGATACTTACATCCACATGACCCATTGTAGGTTTTCTTTCGACACCGAAGTGTTCCTGGGTCTGTTTGTACTTCATCTCACCGATGGGCTTCTGTTGAGTAGCTGCCTTCATTGGTCTCATAGATCCAGAATCAGAACTCAGGGGCCTGGATTGCTTGTTGAGCATGCCTTGGGGCTTGGCTTGCAAATTTGAACCTTGAGGTCTTTGCTGGTTTGTATGCCTCATTGGTGGTTCTTGCCTTGTCAATTCTGGCCTCCGGAACTGATCTCTTTCAACAGTTCCAACAGGTCGAGTAAGTTCTGGTTTTGACACAGTTGAATGGTTTGCAGGCCTCCTGCCATTGTTTTCCCTCTTGTTTCCAATGCGAGCATCATTGTTGTGTCTCAAGTCTGTCATAATATAATGTTAGTTATCACACAATCTATGGAGTGCTAGCATAGCAAGGGAAAACTAAGCAATTTGGGTGGTTGTACTCACTTCCATCTTCATCCATTTCGTCAAAGAACTTCAGGTTGCAAAGGCGAACAGGCAAAGTAACAATGGAAGTTAATTAGCTTATTGTTCAGCACTAAAACAATTCAGATAGCAAGAGTGGATATATTAGTACCTCAGAGAGTTGAATGGCAGTAGTCTCAGGTGCAAAGAATGCTCCTTCATCCAAAGGTGGAGAAGGAAGGCCTTCTTCTTCATCATCATCATCCACAACAGAAGGGTTTGAAGTTCCTGGGGAGTTGTCTACAGGTAAAAGCAGCAATAATATAGTAAGCTAAGAGGCTTGCAACTGAGCATTCATTCACTCAGAATTAACTCTGAAACTGATGGATGAAATAATGTAACATTGAACAAATTCAGATCCTTTACCTGCAAGGGCAACGTTGGTAGTACTGACCCACTCATCAACCAAAATTTTCCAATCCCTGGAAACACAAAAGGTAACTGAAGATGTCAACAATAGTTTACAAGATTGCTTTGGACTCATGCTAACAAGGTAATTTTCTCATTTTTCTTTGGGATGGTGAACAAAGGTAAATGGTGACTATGTAGCAGTGCAGATGGACTGGTACTAGTCAAAAAAAAAATCAGAACATGAGAGAAGTAATTTGCCTCACTGAACTCTTCAAATTCAAGCATGAACTAGTTCTATAAAGCCAAACTAGATAAAAGTTCATGAAGCTTACTGAATGAGAGCCAGCGCGAGGTGACGAATCTGCTGCGAGCTGTGCTTCCGAAGGCCATTAACAGCCCTCCCAATCTCAGTAGCCTACGATGAACAGCCCCAAAGATAAGCAAACCAAATAGCAACAAAACCAGATATCTCATATGTGGTATGCAAAATAGGTACCCTAAGCGTGGAGACGGACAATTGCATCAGCTGCAGCCTCCTAAGTGAGTCGAACAGAGTAGCATCCGACTGCAAGACACCGTTTGTGTTTTAGTTCAGAATCAATGCTAAGTGCTCACTGGAGTTGACAAATAACAGGTTTGGCAATGAACACAGATAGGAGTCCATACATGGTCTTGCTTGTGCAGGAGGAGCTCCTTGATGCGGAGGACCTCCCCAACGATCTGCGACTCCTCATCGATCTCGTTGGTGAGGGCCTCCAGCTCCTCAGCCTCCGGGTCGTCGTCTTCAGCGTGGTGGTCCTCCTCCGCCGGTGCGGCCGCGTCCTGCTCCTCCTCCTCCTCCTCGTCGTCGTTGTCGTCATCATAGTTGTGGCCGTAGTTGCTGGCGGCGGCGCGGCGGAGGCGCTCGTCGTCCTCCGAGTCGGAGTCTTCATCCTCGCTGATGCCGCCGCCGAGCGCCCCACCCCCGGGCGCGCCGAGGCTGCTGCTATCGACCTTGGACTCCTTCTCGGGGACGCGGCGCACGCTGCCCTTGTCCTCCGCGACGGCGGGCGTGGCGGGGGGGACGGAGCCGGTGCTGGCGGTGCAGCCGTGGCAGGAGGGGCGGGCGAGGAGCGCGTTGAAGAGGCGCTCGGCTATGCGGTCGCGGCGGCGCAGGAACTCCTGCGGCTCGTCGGCGGCGGCGACGAGGATGGCCTTCTCGATGGTCTCGCAGATGCTGACGCCGGCGCCCCGGAAGAAGCCGCGCCACCGGTCGAGCCCGTCGTCGGCCATCGCCCCCGAGATCGCGACCCCGACAGACGGGAACAAACAGCTAGCACTACTAGAAGAACCGATGCTCCGCCGATTACCTCGGGCGGGTTCCTTGCGAAATTATTACTACGCCGCGGCCGAGAATCTAATCCCAGCCCCCGATCGCGAATCCGATGCCCCCCGGAATCCGCCGATCGTGAAAGCGAAATTCGCCAAAAAAATCAAATCGACGAACGGGGCGAGCGAGCAGAAAACGAATCGGGCCGAAACGAATCGAGGAAACCGAGTCGAGTTGGGTTGTGTTTCCCTTCGTTGGTTGCTTGGCCCCCAAGTGCCGGTTTCCTTGCGGATTTCTGCGGCGGCAGGAAGAACCTTACCAAATCCTATCTGGCCCTTGCGGAAAGGGGGAGGTAGGGTGGGGTAGGGCTGGGCGTGGGAGGGGTAGGAGGAAGAAGACGGTGCGGCTCGGCTGGGCTGGGGGGAGAAGGCGAGGCTCGCGAGGGCGATGCAAACACCAGGAAGGGTCGGGGCGGAGATGGGGACGGGGCGGGGCGGGTGGATAGGGACGCGGATGGCAGGGTACGCTACGCGACCCGAGCCCACGAGGACTACGAGCACCGGCACGCACGCACGCACAGCGCAGCTAACTGAACAAGAGCTACTCCCGCCCCGTGGGCCCAAAAGGCCAAAATACGCGCGGTAAAACAAACCGGGTCGCGTCACCGGTTCGCTTCGCTTCGCTTCTTTTCCTTCGGCAAGCGCGATCCCTCCTTTTCCTTCTGCAGGAGCGGGGCGACGCGGCGGCCTCGTGGTGGCTTCTTTGGTTTGACCCCCCCGAGTCGACATGCACTCTCTTTCTCCCGCCTCCCCTCACCTCCCCTGGTTTTGTTTAGCAGTATAGTTTGGTACTGGCATTAACTACTTCGATCGCTGCCCATGATTTACTCCATTATTATCGGCAGTGCCAATTGATTGGCTAATTTCCTTCTCATCTCACCAGATATCCCTCCAGATCAATCAAACATAAATGTTCACTACTCCATTACTGAAATGATTTTGGTTTGGGGCAGTGGTTCTTTTCGAATCGAAATAAACCTATGATAGCAACATCCTGGACCCCACCACGGGTCCGTGAAAGCTCGGTTACCTTCTGTAGACTCTAGTGTAGTTTTCTCTTTTAGCTGCAGCAGGGGTGGCTCGTTGCGGTTAACGCCCTTGGCTCAGCTCCAGCGGTTGCTTCCAAAATGGCCCAGGCAACCGTATCCCCGGGTTGTTCCAGCCAGGGATTCTCGACGCGCAAGTGGCATGTGTTTCTTGCTTCCTTTCGGAAGGAATATGTGGCTCTTGCCATCTCTAGCTCAGCTCGGTGCACCACAGACTTTTCACTACTTCAGTTGTGAGCTTGTGGCTGCCTCTCCTCTGGGGCAAACTGCACGGCAAGAGCAGAAAAACGGTGCGTAGTAAACGTGGTTAGTCATGAGTTGAGGTATTTTTTTCATAGGCTATATTTTTCTTCCTCTGTTTTTTTTACAAGGTACTCCCTCCGTAAAGAAAGATAAAAGCGTTTAGATCACTACTGTACAGAGAGATTGATTTTTCCTTCTTCCTCTATGAATGAGAAGACTGCCAACTCTCCGGTGTACTCTCCAAGAAAATAACCCACCGTAGAATAAAGTAGGAAAATAAATCATGTTTAAGCATATCAAAGTTGTATTGTGTTTGTTTGGCATGTCAAACTGAATACGTTTTTTTAACTGCAAATTGTACAACGTTGGTGCAAAAACTTGTGAATTCATTCGGAACTCCTCAGCGATTGGTTGTTTTCGAGTTTCAACAACACTCGGCTACCTCAATGACCAAGAAGATTCGGTTAATTCAATGAAAATCGGGCAAACGTAATCAGGGGCGTAGCAAGGTCTAGGTTGCTCGGGTCGTGGCTTACAAAATGTTCGTTGATTGTGGTACTTTTTGTGCACTGTACAACACTGTACATAATGATGCTATAGTTATAAGTGTTCGCTCGTGTCTTAGGCTGATCCTGGCTACAACACCTGTTACAATCACCCGATTTTCATTTAATTAATCGGCCGACCTGGTTACCTGCAAAGACTTACACTCTCGAGAAGAGAGTGTTCGTCGAGACCAACTACAAAGAGTCATTCCCATCAATTATCACCCTCGATCCGATAACTGTGACTTCACCACAAAACGCCCACCAAAAGAGGCATCATCTTCAATAGTTGCCCGAGACCCATGTTGGAGTGTGCAATAGACATTGAACGCAGAACACCTACCTACCTCCTCCCCAATGATCCTCCTGAGCAACATGGGCGGAAACCCTACCACCACCTTAGGTCGGCCATCTATGCTCTTGAGCCGTTACGATGGCGACTGACCTCTCCAGTCGCATCCAAAGGAAACAGGTAGACCCCAATGGTTTAGAGTGGTGGCGGTATGTTTTCCCTGACGTCGACCATCCCCTACCAATGAGGCTCTAGCTATCGGTAGCGCGACTCGTTCCAGATCCCAGCCTAAGCTTTTGTCTAGGCACTCTCATGGTGGCACCCCGATACGTCTCCAATGTATCTATAATTTTTGATTGCTCCATGCTATTATATTATCCGTTTTGGATGTTTATGTTCTTTACTTTACACTTTTATATCATTTTTGGGACTAACCTACTAACCGGAGGCCCAACCCGAATTGCTGGTTTTTTGCCTATTTCAGTGTTTCGAAGAAAAGGAATATCAAACAGAGTCCAAACGTAATGAAACCTTTGGGAGCGATCTTTTTGGAACAAACACAATCCAGGAGACTTGGAGTGGACGTCAAGAAGCAGCCAAGGCGGCCATGAGGGTGCCTGGCACGCCCTAGAGGTGTGGGCGCGCCCCCCACCCTCGTGGGCCCCTCGTGGCTCCACCGACCTACTTCTTCCTCCTATGTATATCTACGTACTCCGAAAACATCCTGGAGCACCACAAAAACCTATTTCCATCGCCGCAACCTTCTGTACCTGTGAGATCCCATCTTGGAGCCTTTTTCGGCGCTCCACCGGAGGGGAATCGATCACGAAGGGCCTCTACATCATCGCCAAGGCCTCTCCTATGAGTTGTCAATAGTTTACCACAGACCTTCGGGTCCATAGTTATTAGCTAGATGACTTCTTCTCTCTCTTTGAATCTCAATACAAAGTTCTCCTCGATCTTCTTGGAGATCTATTCGATGTAACTCTTTTTGCGGTGTATTTGTCGAGATCCGATGAATTGTGGGTTTATGATCAAGTTTATCTATAAGAAATATTTGAATCTCCTCTGAATTCTTTTATGTATGATTTGTTATCTTTGCAAGTCTCTTCGAATTATCAGTTTGGTTTGGCCTACTAGATTGATCTTTCTTGCAATGGGAGAAGTGCTTAGCTTTAGGTTCAATCTTGCGGTGTCCTTTCCCAGTGACAGCAGGGGCAGCAAGGCACGTATTGTATTGTTTCCATCGAGGATAAAAAGATGGGGTTTATATCATATTGCTTGAGTTTATACCTCTACATCGTGTCATCTTGCCTAATGTGTTACTCTGTTCTTATGAACTTAATACTCTATATGCATGCTGGATAGCGGTCGATGTGTGGAGTAATAGTAGTAGATGCAGGCAGGAGTCGGTCTACTTGTTGCGGACGTGATGCCTATATACATGATCATGCCTAGATAATCTCATAACTATGCACTTTTCCATCAATTGCTCGACAGTAATTTGTTCACCCACCGGAATACTTATGCTATCTTGAGAGAAGTCACTAGTGAAACCTATGGCCCCCGGGTCTATCTTTTATCATATAAGTTTCCGATCTACTTTATTTTGCAATCTTTACTTTCCAATCTATATCATAAAAATACCAAAAATATTTATCTTATCTTATTATCTCTATCAGATCTCACTTTCGCAAGTGATCGTGAAGGGATTGACAACCCCTTTATCGCGTTGGTTGCGAGGTTCTTGTTTGTTTGTTTGTGTAGGTACGAGGGACTTGTGAGGAGCCTCCTACTGGATTGATACCTTGGTTCTCAAAAACTGAGGGAAGTACTTACGCTACTTTGTTGCATCACCCTTTCCCCTTCAAGGAAAAACCAATGCAGTGCTCAAGAGGCAGCAAGAAGCATTTCTGGTGCCATTGCCGGGGAGGTCTTCGCTCAAGTCAAGACATACCAAGTACCCATCACAAACTCATCTCCCTTGCATTACATTATTTGCCATTTGCCTCTCGTTTTCCTCTCCCCCACTTCACCCTTGTCGTTTTACTCGCCCTCTCTTTCTCGTTCGCCTCTCTCTTTCGCTTGCCTTTTGTGTGCTTGTGTGTTGGATTGCTTGTCATGATGGCTCAAGATAATACTAAATTGTGTGACTTTTCCAATACCGATAATAATGATTTCTTTAGCACTCCGATTGCTCCTCTTAATGATGCTGAATCTTGTGAAATCAATGTTGCTTTGTTGAATCTTGTTATGAAAGATCAATTCTCCGCCTTCCTAATGAAGATGCCGCTACTCATCTAAACAACTTTGTTGATTTGTGTGATATGCAAAAAAATACACGGATAGTGATATTGTTAAATTGAAGTTATTTTCGTTTTCACTTAGAGATCATGTTAAAACTTGGTTTTCGTCTTTGCCTAAAAACAGTATTGATTCATGGAATAAGTGCAAAGATGCTTTTATCTCTAAGTATTTTCCTCCCGCTAAGATCATCTCCCTTAGAAACGATATTATGAATTTTAAGCAACTTGATCATGAACATGTTGCACAATCTTGGGAGAGGATGAAATTAATGATACGTAATTGCCCTACACATGGTTTGAATTTGTGGATGATCATACAAATTTTTTATGCCGGATTCAATTTTGCTTCTAGAAATCTTTTAGATTCGGCCGCGGGAGGCACTTTTATGGAAATCACTTTAGTAGAAGCTACTAAACTCCTAGATAATATTATGGTTAATTATTCTGAATGGCACACCGAAAGATCTATTAG